ACTATAATTTGTTCAGATTTATTATTAACTCATTTTTTATTTTTTTTGAGTTTCCTCCCTTTCTATTGCAAAGGCCCTATATATTCCATAATTTCAAAGCTTTTGACTAAACCATTCTTAATCTACTCATCTTATCTTGAGAATTATTTACTTCTAAACTGTCTATACTGAGTAGAACTAAAGCTCTGAATGGTTCAGTTCAGTACAGATTAGATGCCAATCTGTATCTGATCTGAAAATTTCAGTTCAATTCAATTTAGATTATTAATCTTAAAAATGCTAATCTGAATCTGAACTGAATCGCAGATTGGTAAAAATCTGAACTAAACTAGAATTTTTAGATTAATCTGAAATTACGGTTTGATTATATAAGGAATCCGCAATTTATATGTGAAACTCTAGGAGAATCGTAAAAAATCGTGAATTTCTCTTTGAAGTTTGCGAAAATTTGCGAAATTCGATAATTAATCGCAAAAATTTGCGATTCTTCAAGATTTTCACATTTTTTTGCGAAATTTGAAGAGAAATCACAATTTTTTGTGATTCTCCAAGAATTTTGCGATATTTTTTGCGAAATATTAAGAGAAATTGCAAAAATTGCGATTCTTTAAAGGTTTTGTGATTTTTTTGCATAATTTGAAGAGAAATCGTAATTTTTTACGACTTTTCAAGAGTTTTGCGATATTTATGCGAAAATTCGTAAAAAATTGCGATTCTCCAAGGTTTTTACAATTTTTTATGAAATTCAAAGAAAAATTGCAAAAAATTGCGATTCTCTAAGAGTTTCACTAAATTTTTGCGATCCTCTTAGAGAATTCGCAAATTTTGTGATTCTCTAAGAGTTTCGCATATAATTGAACTAAACTTTTAGATTAATCCAAAATTATCAGTTCAGTTCAGATTTTTTTCAGTTTAGATTAGAATTATAATTCGAAAAAAATCCAAATTGAACTGAAAATTTTCAGATCGATTTTTATGCAATCTGAAACTGATCTGAACTAAACTGATCTTAAAAATCTTCAGATTAATCCAAACTGTTCAGAGCTTTAAGTAAAACTCTAGCATTAAAAAGAAGAAATCTTTTTTTTTATTTATACAAGTTATTTTAAAAATATTATAAGTTTAAAAATCTATAATAATTTTGCTTACAAGATAGAAATTTATGTGAAAATAAGAGAGATTTTGAATGAGATATTTATAAATAAAAAATGCATATAAAATTTTTAAGATCATAAAAATTCTACTTTTGTAGAAAAATAAATAATCAATTATTAGTTTAAAATTATTATTGATTATTGTATAATATTATAAGAATATAAATTAATTTTATTAATAATTATATAATATTTGCATAACATATTTTTGATCAATATTTCTTTATTTAATATTAATTTAGAAAATTTTATAATTTTAAGAGTTTGACAAAATGCATGTAAAATTATCAACAAATATAAAGGTATTAATTTTTTGAAAAAGGAATTATTTGTAATATTTATAAGATTAAGCATTAAGAAAATGTTAAATAATATAATCAGTTAATCAAAAGTTAATTTTAGATTTATATTCAATAATTTTCTCATAGTAGATTACTTAAATATTAGATCTCAATAAACTTTTTTGATATAGAAAAAGATTAAGTATATCATATATGAAAATTATATTATTAAACTATTTAATATATTTATTTTATTTATAAATAAAATAATTAACAAATATATTATTCAGTCATAATTATTAGTCTAATATTAATGAAGTAATATTAATTTAGTCTTGAGAATAAAAACATTTTTTGATTTTTAGGTTAGTAACAAAATTATAAAACTTTCTAATAATTCACAAGTTTTGTCAGGAAGTTTTTGGAATATTCTAGTTCTTTTACATAGTGCAAGCTTATACCTTTTCATAAAGTTACAAATCCATTGTTAAGATGTTTTAAATTCTTTCATTAAATCACCATAAAGAATCAACAGCTCCAGTTCTTTTAAAATTTCAAATATCTTGTTTCGTATAGTTTTATAGGTAATCGCAAAACTTTGTTTCTTTTATTCTATTATTCATGTATATAGCTTTTTTTCTGCTTTGGAAAAAAAGCTTTTCGGCTGAAACTAACGCACTTACTTATTTTATTCACTTCATCTATCCAATAAGTGCTAGCATTTACTTAACGTTCTACTATGATCATATCAAGGTTAAAGTGTCTACTAGCTTTATTTTGATCATATTCCTTTGTGTAATTAACCACTTTTTTTTTGTTTAACAGAGTATGAGTTTTGTATACGTTAAAAATTCGCGACATTATTTTTGAAAAGTAAAATTTAATCAACATGAATTTCAGAAAATATTTCAGATTTTTTATTTAAACTATCCAAAAATAAGCATTCCTATAACAAAAAGGGGCGCTTATTTCGAACAGATATGGTATTTAATATTTTTCAATAATATTAGAAAATATATTTAAAGGTTTACAGTTACTTCGAATTAAAGATAAACATAATATTTTAGTAGCTGCATTCAACGAAATTCTTGAAGTTTTAGATATTTCAACATCACTCTTTATAGACTTCAAAAATCCTTGAAAATATTATACCATTAAAACTAATATATATAGATTATTGTATTAATTCATATATAGTATTTGTAGGCGAATATACTAATAATAGTTTTTGTTCAAAATGTAAGGATTCTCGCTATAAATCTAATAATCTACAACAAAAAAAAGCTGCTTATTGGTCACTTATTGATTTACTTTAGATACAATATAAGGATAAAACTCGTTCAGAAACTTTTTGCTATAGATATAACTATATATTAACAGATGAATATACTTTTAATAATCAAATAGGAGATATATTTGATGGTACTCAATATAAAACTTTAATTTCATCTAGCTTTTTTTAGATAATCATAATATTGCTCTAATAGTATCTACTGATAAATATCAAATTTTTCGTTAAAAGTAAGATGATTGTTAGGTTGTACTCTTTATAAATGCAAATTTATTACTTGATATGCATATCAAAAATGAAAATTTAATAATTTTTGCACTTATTCCTAAACCAAAAGCATCAAAATATTTCAATTCTTTTTTACAACTATTAGTTGATGAATTGAAACAATTACAAGGTATTATAATAAATATTTATAATTTATTATTTTAATATAATATTTATTATATTATTAATTTAATATAGAAGGAGTATAATATTTTAATAGTATGACTGAAAATATATTTACTCTTTATGCACATATCATTAGTTTATCTAGTGATCTTTCAGCACTTGCTAAAGTTATGTATACAATCAGACATAATTCATATAAAGTATGCAGATTTTATTTTATTTGAAATATATTATCAAGGAAATTAGCATATATATTATCCACTTAATTCTCTGACTGGTATATCAGAAATTAAGTATGATGCCAAAAATCTTCCAATGTGAAAATATGAAGATTATGTAAATGATGCAACAATTATTAAATATATAAATAAATCATCACGCAAAAAATGAAGTATAACAACAAGGTATTTTTTCAGTATTTAAAAATAATACTTTAATATATTAATTTTTATTATTTAATTTTTAGGTTTAAATAGTCGAAGAATCTTATTTGACTTTAAATCAATTGAATTTCCTACTTCATTTCCTATTGTTATTATATATGAATTGTTTGAAAATATTACACTATCAATGTTTTGCCATTGGTCTGACACTTTTTTTAAAGATGATCAAGACTCTAGCTTTGATTATATTCTTCACAATAAGGAGTAGACTGAAATAGAAAAAATAATGGAAAAAAATTAAAAAAAATATGCCATTAGATTTTGGTCGTCTGCCTATTAATATTCAAAAGTATTTAGCTGCATTTAAAGTAGAAGAATAGTTAAAAAGGATAATATTATATTCATTATTACTTTTACAAGATTATCTTTCGGAAAGGTAGATAAATTAATGAATAATTTATAATTTTCTAAATTTAATTTTTAAATTATTGATTAATTTAGGTATTTAATTGGCTGAGCAAAATTTGTATATGCAACAAAACTTTACCTTAAACAAAAAATTAGTATAATAGAATTAGCGAAAATTGATAAATATTTTGCAAATTTGTAATTCATTATGAAAAGTATGCAACTATTATATTTTATATTTATATTATACAGTTCTCAGTGAAAAGAATGACGGATAGTTTTTTTTGAATAATAAAAGATTTTAATAAATAACTTTCAAATTTTTTTTTATTCTCAAATGCTTTTGATTAAAAAATTATACACTCAAAAAATTAAAATATAAAATGTATTCTCCTTCTCTATTAACCTGGATTTAAATACAAGTTAAAATACTAAAAAATTAGAAAGTTAGCCTTTTTTCATATTAATTTAACTTCATGCTTTCTATTTCCTATTTCCTTAGTTAAAATATATTATTTCTATTGTAGAATATTTAGCTGAACATTTATTCATTAGTGAGTAAAGCTCGTTAACATAGTAAAATTTTTTGTAATCTTAATTTTAATGATCAAACACTCAAATTTGACCTTATTTTACGATTGCAAAATTTTATTCATATTAAAATATGCATTGCGAGCTTCAAATCATACACATAGAATTTGAACTAGTAATACATATAAAATACTATGTAATTGTTTATACAAATCCTTAATAATTTGGTATTTTCTCCAAATTTGTTCTAAAAAGCTTTTGATTTATTTCAGTTTTGTACTGAAGATTGAAAAACAGATTCACATAGTAATCTAATTTTGAAGATTTGTACACAACCTTTTGTGTTGCGGTATGTATAAAAGTCCAGATTCCACTCTAATCAAGTACTCATTATTTTTGTTCATTAGGTAAAACTTTTAGTTGACCGAAATGCGCACCGTAAAAATGCACCAGTTATTCTGGAAGAGCAAGAGTTTTTTGGAGAAGTATATTATTACTTTTCACATCAATATAATGATCACTGGTCTATGCTAGCATATGTACAGTGGGTTCGAAATCCCCAGCCATCTGGACATGGCCCATTAAAATTCCGAGATCTTGGTGCATTTGAGGTAATTAATGTTAGTACCATTAACAGAAAAGTTGGTTTTCTCAAAATGCCAAATAATGAATTATATATTATTGATCAAGAAAATAGAGTTAAATTCCGATAGTTTACATTTGATTTTAATGCTTAATTTAAATGTATATTTATATTTATGTTATCAAAAAGCTAACGCTAAAATTTCGCAAACCTTTACATTATTTAATTTTCAATTTAATGACATTGTTAATTTCCGTTGATTAATTGTATTTTCTCCGTTTTTAACCATTTTTTAATTTAAAAAATAAAGTTCTATTCCAAAACCATTGAATCTTTAAAAAATTCGTATTCCATTTTAATTCCGTTTCTAAAATACAAGAATTTCGTATTCCATTTTAATTCCGTTTCTAAAATTTAAGATTTCTATATTCCATTTTAATTCCGTTTCCTATATGTACATTCTTGAAAAATTCCTATTGATTGTTTAACCGGTCGCCAGTATTATATGATTCACTGAACTCTTACGGACTCCAAAACAAAATCATGGAAAAATAATGGAGATACTCCGGAGTGCCATTTTTTATAGGGCTTACTTCTATTAATATTAATAATTAACGTGATATGATGGATTAAATTATTAAATTCTGTTTTAACATTATATTAATTTTCAAATATGCAGTAATCAATGAAATCAATGAAGTCAATGTAAAGACGTATTTCGGCTCGAAAACTTATTTGGTTTACAAAAAGCTCAAATATTATATGACATAGATCATTGATTTGACGTTACTTAATTTCATTCGGTCGGGTTTTGATCGCGGATGGACTTAGGCAGATTATTAGTCAAATAAGCAAAAGAATTAACAACTAATGATATGAATAAATTTTTTTTTTTTTAGCTTTTATTTGTTAATTAAAAATTAAAAAAAAAAAAAAAAAAAAAAAAGAGAGAATTCACCCATCTCCAGTAAACCAACCTCTAAGCATTGTAATGTCGTCGCATATGATGAGACTCGAAACCAGACCGTTTGTATGAAATGACGACATAAACCTTTGCCAACTTTCTTTTAGATTTCTATTGTTATTAAATATACTTTAGGTTTTGTTTTTTTTAAATTTTTTTTTTTTTTTTTTGGAGACGCTAAAGTCTTCATCGTAGTAGTCTGTCATTTGTTGATCACAAACTTTTTAATACCAGTAAAAAAAAAATTCCGAAGGTTTAGTAGGATCGTATTTGTTTCTCGACAATTATTAAAATTGAATTGTTTATAGAAGTAGTATACGTGTTAACGGGGAAGAATCTCAATTTTTAGGAATTAGAGAATTCTTTTGTATTTCCATAGGTTTGGGTACAAGTTCTTGTTCATAATATTATTAACGATTTAATCTTCACGTTCCCTTATAGTTTATAAAAAATTGTTTTTTGTCTTTTTCATCAAAAAGCTTCAAGAAGAACAAAAGATTTTTTAACACGAGAAAAAATCCCTTTGACCCATCCATCAAAAATATGTTTATAAATCACTAGCTTCTTGTTTTGTTTCTCATGATTCAATAGTTTAAAGAAAGTATAAAAAAAATATGTAAGAGTTGAAAATTACTGTTCAGTTCTTTACGTTTATATTTATAAACAAAGGAAGAAGGTTTTAATATTCATGTATGATATAAAATATATTTAATAAAACTAGGTATGCCTGAGCGTAACTCAACGACAAATAAATGATGATATCAAAAAATAAAATAAAAAAGAATATGTCTGAAAGTTGAAGCGAAAAAATTACCTAAAAAAAATAAGAAATATTAGTGTCCGTAAGGGTCGAGTCGGGTAGGGTTTGGGCATATTCGAACTCGAACCCGTTAATAATTATAGAACTAGAATTCGACTCGACTCGATCATTATTCGACCTCGACCCGAGAATTGTTTAACCCGGATTCGACTCGAATTTTCAAGAGTAATATTAATGCCGAAATTAAAAAGTGTCATATAAAGTTTATTTTTTTTTTAAAAAAAATCATTTATTATTTTTTTTTGTGAGCATTAATCCTATTTTTTTATACATCTTTTTCCACCATGATTTCAAGCACAAGCACATACAGGCGCGAATTATATTAGCTTTAAGACCACATCTTTTGGTTGATATCAGATCGGTTCCGCCAGAAAAACTTGTTCTACTGGAATACTTGTTGCTTTATAAAAAAACGTATTAGTTAATAATCGATTATTTTTTTTTTTTTTTTTTTTTTTTTTTTACCTGTAATTGTTCATTCCGTAATGCTTTGTACTATCGATCGATAGGTTCACTCATTATTTATTGTTACAAAATAAAGTAGCGTAACGTAAAACAAAAATAAAGGTCTATTATATTAAATCAGATCTCCTGATCATCCGGGTCGAAAAAATATAACTTACCTATGCATACAACTCGTCTAAAGTAAGAGAAAAAAATAATTAATAAATATGAATCCATAATTAAAAGGGTCGCTCGATCTAGTAAGTATAATTTCATCGGAATTATATTTTCGTAAACTTCATCCAGCAACTGAAGCAACAAAAATTGTAGTTTGTTTATTCAATTAACGCAAAAAAATAAACAGATAAAATGGTATAAGCTTTCAGCATTCTTTTTATGACAAATGGATACTAGTACTGATACATATTCTGGTTTTTTGAAATTTACGTTAAATTTGATTTTATTTTAAATTTTTTTATAAATATTGGCGTAGCAATTTTTTACATATTCAAAAAAAAACATTTGACGCAACAACTGCTCCAAATTGTGACGGCTTTATATTTTGCAATTGAATATTTTTGAGCTCGTATGTTGTCAAGACCCATCGTCAAATCTCTTTTTCAATTTTGCTTGAAGCAAGCGTAGTTTATTTAAGAGTTTTATTTATAATTTGTTGCAAAGTTCCTACATGTTATTGTAGGTGAATAATAATATAGACATATTTTTAATAGAATTTTTCATGGTGAAATTTGTATTATCAAATTCTTTATTAGTTATTGTAAGCTGAGAAAGTATTGCTGTGTCATTTTTCTAGATCTTTTCAAATTTCAATTCTAATGCTGTAGGGGAATTAATTTTTATAAGGATTATAAAACGAAAACTGTTTGCATAGCATAATCTCCACAAAATACAAGAACAATGAATTTATTCATTTTTAAATAATATAAAAAATCTTTACCAAACGTATAGTGCACCCTTGTACATCATGTATATAACTCGATTTTCAAAAAAAAAAAATTGGATTAGATCAGAAATAAAAGAAATAAATAAAGTAAATAAAGCTTTCTCATGATAAATGAATGTTTTCAAGTCCATCCGTAATATCTTCATGAATCAGACTCTTGGGATAATCCAATGAACGTTTCTTTGCCAACTGAAAATGAAAATTTATTAATGAAAATATAAAATTATATTTTGAACAATTCCGTTATATAATATGAACTGAAATAGTTACTTGTTGAACAATAGAACTTTTATCAGAATTAGGAGATTGTTTGTTGGGTTTTATGAACCCTTTTGATCGCCCTCCATATTTTATGATTAATATTCAGTATTGGGACGTAGCCCCGATACTTAAAAGTACGGCCTAAAAATTAAAAAAGTAGCATTATAAATAAAACTGTATTAATATGTAAAAAAAAAAAAATACTTACCCAATTCGAAGCTGCTCCCTGATACCGAAAACGCCGTCTAAAATTTAAAAAAAAAGTAAAAAAAGTTCTATATATTAAACCACCGTCCATTTAAGCTGATTGCTAAAGCGTAAGCATAAAATGCAGGAACGTCTAAACCAGTGTTTGGGCAATTGGTCAATTTTAGACAATTTTGGACAGGTTTTGGACACTTTTTCTTATGTCGAAAACCTTGTCCAAAACTATTAAAATCTAAAAATGTGTCCAAAACCCATATTTGGAAATAAATCTCTATGATCGTCAAAAAAATTAACGTGCAATTAATTAAACCTTTAATGTAGACGAAATCCGTTTATACAAAATATTAAATATTTAATTAATTAAAACTGAGACCAAAATAAAAAATTAAAATTTATCGGATAGGTAAATAAAAAATAATCGTAAAGAATAAAAGGAAAGGTAAAGAAATAATTATGTGCCGATAATTTGCCAGGAGACAGGAAAAAGTTGGCCTGGCCAAAAATCGATCTACTATACATGATCTAACTAACCTTTCTCATCCATAAAGCGCGCCAAATTGCAACAAATCTAGAGGAATTTTAAAGATGGATAATATTATATAAAATGTCATTTACAAATTGATTATATAACGAAGTGATCAAATATGATAAGTTAAATATATCTATTTTATTTATTTTATTTGTTAAAATGTTCTCGTAAACAGATTTATCATAAAATATCATATTTAGAATAAACACCATTTTCTCTTTAGTTAAAATTATAGAGTTTCATCTCCAGAATTCAGAATTATTAAAGAAATCAATTAAATTCATTTACTACTACCCTTCCTCGAGTATTCATATCGACAGAATTATTTAGTTGAATATGATCGACACCATTCGTAGAAAGAACCTCATAAAAAAAATTGCAAAATAGAATATTTACGTTTCCAAAGCTATACCATTTAATGGTTTTCATTATAATTTGCTTGGCTTTTAAAAATTTAAAGATTTTTTTAAATAAATACTAAAATTTAAACATTACTCTATAATTAGAACATTGCTTTACAATAAAATAAACGATAATAACATGAAAAATAAATTATTAGATAGCTAAGGTCCGAAGCGATCGAACAGGAAAGTAAAAAAAAAAAAAAAGAAACTAAAGATTAAAAAATAACTCGATACGATTGCTACGGTCCGCAACAATCCAACCGTCTAAAAAAAAAATATATAAAATAATTAATAAAATCAAAAATAAAATCATTGAGATCGCTTTTTCATTGATTTAATCCAAAGAAAGAGGATCTTAAAGAGCGTAAAATTTTATTTTGGAAAATAAGATCGCTTCGGCCCGAAGCGATCGACACCATTTCTACTCTATTTCCATTCTTGTACAAATTATAAAAAAAAAAAATACTACACCAAACGGTCAACGATATTCCCGCGCATCCTATAGCCAGAATTAGGTTAGAATAATATTTTTCGGAAAACAAAATTTCTTTTTAAGTAAAAGAAAGATATACAGTATGTCAAATCTCCATTCATATGCAAAGCACATAAGCATAAAGAAGCCAAATCAGCTTAATCGTTCAAATATTAATTTTTTATTTTTTATTGAATAAGTTAAGTAGTAGAAGCATAATCTTAACCGCCGGTAATAGCCGGTTCTAACCTCTACCGAATAAAATTCCGAAAAGCAAATGCACAAACTATAGGTTATTTACAAGTACATTCAAAGCCTACATAATTAACGAAATGCATTTATGATTTAAAATTACGCGAAATCAACTTTTATGACAAACAAATTTTTACGCCTAGATAATTACCTTATAGGATGCCTTAAATCAGTAGTCAATAAAACAAATAGCATTTTTAGAATAAAAACGTTTTCTGTTTCCAGATTACATAGTAAAAAGGACATAATAAATCGTCACTACCTTTATGACAATATTCATCTTTTCTTCCTTTGCATTCATAAGAATTAAAATTACAAATATTTATGCAGCTAGATATGCTTGATAATATTTTATTTATTTAATAGTATATAATATATCTATTAATTTATTTTACAATAACTAATTATTTTGTTATTTATAAAAAAATTGAACATATTGATAACTTTTGGTTTCAAGATAATTGAGCTGATTTCATTTTACCATACATTCTTAAATAGTTAAAGAAGAATTTTCAGAAATCTGTGGTTTCGGCCGAAATTTTGCATATGTTTAACTTTTAAATAGTTAGTAAATTTTACCCCAAACATATATTTAAAAGGGTTAAAAACCCGGAACGTTTTAATTTCTATTTGTAATGATCGACACATGATCGGCAAGTTGACGCACAACGATTTTCTGCGGTGATCTCACACAACATACAATGAACAAAAATCATAATTACGTTGATTAAAGAAATCAAACAAAAAAATGTTGTGACGTTATATAAAGTCATGAAATTTACTTTTTAAGAATCTCAAATGTTTAACAGGATTGGAAAATTCTTTTTCGTTAATTCAATCCAATTAAAGACTTATTATGAACTCTTATCCGAAACTTATCCAAAACTTGTAAATTACAAATTATAATAGACTTACGAGTCTTTGTTGAAAACCATCAATCAAATTTTTAATGTCTTTATTTTGTTTTATTTATATAAATATGTCATGCAGATCTATTTGGTAATACTTGTTTAAAAAAGGAACTTAATTGAAAGAACTAATTCCGGAAACAAATTGGATAATATACAAATATAAAAATTATATAAATATAATTTAGGTTTAATTATTATTAATAAAGACCAATAGAATTCTCCTCATTTAAGATATCAATGAAAATTCTTTATTATTCATGATGCGGAGATGTGTAAATTTGAATTACATTTCGAAGTAAAGTATTTTTCTGTCCTTGTTCTACTAAAAAGAAATACAAATACATTGTGGCTGAAACGGAAAAACAAATTAATTTTAATACTTTATTATTTGCTTATAACGGATAAACTTTGAATGGTAGTTATTGGTTCTCAAATGATGCAAAATTAAATAAAAAAAACTCAGATTTCCTCCTTTTTTACTGATTTCCTCCAGTAAAATCGCTAACACTGGCAATATAAATGTAAGTTTTTTTTTTTAACCTCCTGATTAATTCTTTAAGTAATTGAAAATTGTTACTTGATTTGATTTGAATATTTTTTATTTTTGAAAAATTGTTTGAGGTTTAAATTGAAGATTACAAATTCTATATTTTACGTAACATTCAAATCAGTGATAGTGAACCCAAAGATCCAATCTCCCGACACTGATCCAATGAACAATATGAAAACTAATAAAAAGTACAGGACATTTACTCAAGCTATTCAACAAAACAACTGGGACACCATTGAAGTGCTTGAATCATCTCATTTTATCAATAATAAATTTAATAATTAAAAAAAGATGACCTGCATTATTAAGCAAAAAAAAATATTTGTCACGCCATGTCACACCTCTGTTTTTTTTTCATTTTTAGTAATAATTCTGGGGACTTGGAATTTCTTTTCGGTATGTGATATCTTATTTATTTCATTGGGACTTAATTCGGTTTACGAACATGATCCCTAAAATAAAAAGTTTGTGCGGACTAAGACGACATCATGCAAGGTAATAGATAATCACCTAACTTTCTGAAAAAGTTATATCTTTATATATTACATGACTTGAGTTTCATACAACCGTTTATTTTCTGAAAAATTTCACATAAATATGACTATTTTGCAGCCAATTCTGGTTTATGAAACGAATGATTATAAGAGACTATAAACACACGAGGGAAATATGTTTTAAACCAATTTTATCGTTATTCAATCTTCAACCATCACAATCTCATCTTTCGTTTTAAATAAAGATTATCTATCAAATATGAATAACCAAAAAGAGTTAAATATGAATCGGATCCGGCTTCCGGAATTCTCTTTCAATTGAAAGGGCTATTTACAAAGCTAAACTTATATTCTTTCAATGTTATTTAGAATTCTCTTTTAATTTTTTATCAAATGAATCTTAATAAAGTTTAATAGAACAAATAAAAAAAAAATTGTATAAATATTTCGTGCAACAAAACAATTCATTTAAAAAATTAAAACTGTACAATCAAATCCATATTTAGTTTTGGTAACATTTAAATCACTAAAAGAAAACAATGTAAATTTATCTTTTAATTTACTTTGCAGCATTATTTATTTCGTACATAACACGGGACCATCATTCAAATGTTTTAACACACTTATTCTTTATAAAGCTTGAATAACATTTATAACATTTACTATTTTAGAGAATAAGAAAATTTTTCAAATTTATAAAAAATAGAAATTAATTTAGGAAAATATAAACCTCAATTAGTACAAATTAAATTATAATTAAAAATAGACGATACATCAAATTTTCTTTATGTGCAGATGCAATCTCAACTCCAATAAAATTCACAAATAAAGTTGTGAATTTATAATAAAAAGCCTAAAAAATCGCCCAACATGCACTAAAGAACGTTTTAATATTAAGTAAGTTTCTGCTTTTTTCTTTTTAACCTGCTTAGCCCCCGGTATTCCATGTGACTCTATATAATTTGTCTGAAAACATAGAAACGCGATATCCATGTGACTAGTGACAGTTAAACAAACAGCCCTAGCGTCGCCACCAAAAAATGGTAGCCGGATTTTATTTGCCGGGTCACATATACTTATTAGGGGTGACATATAATTGTGACAATTAGCATTTTTCTCTCAAATAATTTCTCAGTCCTCAGAATACTTAGTAAATTGAAGAACGGCTGGGATGTGACGCGATGTGACAAATTTGCTAACCCCCTTACACTAATCCTAATTCTACCCTAATCCTAATTCTAATCCAAACCCTAACTTTAATACTAACCCTAATAACAAATACCCGACAAATAAAATCCGGCTACCATTTTTCGATGGCGGCCCAGTTAAACATCACCCCTTCCTAATATAAAAATAATCGGCGTACTGTCACACATTTTCACACTTTCCTTTTTGTATTCCAGATCAAATGATATAAATTTCAAATTACAAATAGTAAATGTCCTTATCATTTACCATCACTGCTTGCTTTGATTGCTAGAAAAATTAGGTTCCGGGAATTTTTAACAAAATTTTTATTGCATTTTAGTTTTTGATGTTATTAGATTAAAGTGCATTAAGCTCGGAACCTGATTTTACTAGAAATCCTCCCATATGCTTCAAAAAAATTACGATTTGAAATTTTGTCATTTTGACTGATTTTGCAGTTTAACATAAAAATTATCCAATAAACAATACTAAAATGAATTTTACATTAATTTTAGATTATATATGGAACATAATCTAAAAGAAAATGATTCGGAAAATTCTATATACTATGGAAAATGTATAGATTGTGGAAATGAACGAAGAAGTGTGGGGTGGTGTAACGTATGTGATGTTAATGCTTTTAAGGAAAATTTCGGAAATTGGACAAGTGGTAATCATATTATTGACGATTTTATTAAATATACCCAATTGAGTGCAACCCAAAACT